TTTGAAACAGGTCAGTGCCTGGGTAGAAGACTTCCTGGGAACCTTAGCTATTCTGTCTAAGTTCCATGGTAGAAGACAGACAGGAACTAAATGCACTTTATGGATAATTCTGTATTATAGATAAATATTTAGGGATCAGTACAAGAGATATAGAAGCACAGGAAACTGTATTACACAATGATATAACCAGACGATTGGTCCATCTAGTCCAGGATTGTCTGCAGCTCCATGGCACTGCATGTAATCCTATCTGGAGATCCCTATCCAGTACTATATCTAATTCTGTCCAAAATATGATGAGTGGAACTAGAGATGGGATGTTTGTATTTGTGAACAAATACGAATATCCCATGCCCAGGTGGCTGGGATACCCAGTCTTGTCTCCCTGAACTGACCTGTTCACTTACAGATTGCAGCACAGTACGTGGGACCGGCGTCCTCCTCATTGGACCAATATCTGATGACACCTGGATGCCACTTTTCCACCATCCTTCTCTTCTGGACACTCAGCAGTAGAGCAGAGAGATTCATCTTCCCGCCCCCTGGCTGGAATGGCCCTGCATACTGTGTCATGACCCAGAAGTGGACAGGGTCAGTTCAAGGAAGTGGGACTGGGGATCCCAGCCACTTGGGCCCGGGATATTCATATTCGTTCACAAATACAAATATCCCATCTGTAGTTAGACCAAATGATCCTTCCAGACACAGGCTTCAATTCACTGCTGGTGACTAGGAGATGCTGGATAGGAAGGTAAAGAACCTTGTGATACAGGTGTTTTTTTCATCACTCTTTCCTCTTGAAAATCATGGTCCAATAAAAGAGACAGGAATACTAGAACAACCAGTTGCACAGGTGGTATCATCAGAAAATCTTTGGCCTCTTGGTCCATGGGCTGCACTTGCAGGAAGAAGGATTCCTAACAAATAATGAATTGTACTTTACAGGGGTTGAGAGGAGAATGTTTGATAAGAGTTTTGCAAAACTGGGCAAAGAACTTAAATTCGATCCTATGTGGGAGAGAAACAGTCTCCAAAGGACAAGGAGACACTAAGTACTGGGGATGAAAGTGTCAATGTTGCATCAGAAACAGGGATGGTAGTACAGGAACCCACTCTTGGTTTTAAATGCATACCCATGGGAAACAAACAAGATGATTTTAAACTCTTGATACAGAAAGACAAATAAAATATGACAGACTTTACAGAAACCTGGTGCAATGAAGGCCATTAAAGGAATCCAGTGATTAAAAGTTGTAGTTCACTGAAAAGGAATAGACTAAAGAGAAAGGAATGAGGAATAAGAGTGCATGTAAATGACATGGACAACTGTGAAAAGATCCATGAGCTGGAGAAAGGAAGGCTGGTGGAAAGTATTTGCATAAAAATTAGAGGCAAGAGAAATAACAGTGACATCACAAGTGTATTTGTATCTGCTATAGACTTCCTAGTCAGACTGAAGGTTTGGATGATGCCATCCTAGAACAGATTATCAAATGTTCAGAGAGGTGAGCTATAGTGCCCAGATACGAACTTGACCAAAAATGTAAGGTTCAACAAATTTCTCACTTGCTTTGCTGAAACTTCATCTTCCAGAAGGTGGAAGAAACAACAAGAGGATCAGTTTGCCTCTATTATTAGACTGGAAGCAGCATGTACTAAAAATGTGTCAATCTATGAAGAACCTTGTTAGTTCTGCTCCTGTTTTAGTCTTCCACTAAAGTCCTTTATGTGGTAGATTTGTAGAATTATATCTGAAGGAGAAGTTAGTAAAACTGGTAGTTTGGGGTGTTTAACTTGGTTCCAATTAATTGCATCTCAAAACTGTTATCACGTCTTCAGTCAGGAAGACAAAATGCTGGCAGTATTTCCATCAGTTCTGATATACTTAGCATTTTTTGAGATGATCTGTTCCCAATTGAGCCATGCAATTTGCCTACTTCAAAAGATACCCAATTTTTCCTTCTCTGAGATGTAATGCCTTCCATAGTCGTCACGCGCGGATGGCATGCTAATGGATTATGAGGTCATAAACCAAGAAGCCTGTGAATGATTGTTTTGATCCTCACTTGATCCCTGTATCTCCCAGAGCTAAACTCCAGCTTAAAAATAGAAGTCATTTAAGTCGCTAGGAAACTGTTTTCTTTATCACTTCAGGGATCCAGATATCCAGAGAAATGACATCATACAAAATTTGATTCCCTGAAATAGGGTAGGGCAGGGTTTAAAAATCCACCCATTTCTCCATCCTAGGGGATGAATGAAAATTTGCTTTTCTGTCCTTTCTTGCACACTGGTTGTTGTTATGTGACATCAGGTTGCCTCTGACTTATGGTGACCCCATGAATGAAAGATCTCCGGAATGTCCTGTCCTCAACTGCCCTACTCAACTCTTGTAAACTCAAGCCTGTGGCTTCCTTTAGGGGCTCAATCCATCTTATGTTTGGTCTTCCTCTTTTTCTGCTGCCTTCAACATGAATGAAAATTTGCTTTTCTGTCCTTTCTTGCACACTGGTTGTTGTTATGTGACATCAGGTTGCCTCTGACTTATGGTGACCCCATGAATGAAAGATCTCCGGAATGTCCTTTCCTCAACTGCCCTACTCAACTCTTGTAAACTCAAGCCTGTGGCTTCCTTTAGGGGCTCAATCCATCTTATGTTTGGTCTTCCTCTTTTTCTGCTGCCTTCAACCTTTCCAAGCATTATTGTCTTTTCCAGATCATCTTGCCTTCCCATCATGTGCACAAAGTAAGACAGCCTCAGTTTTAGCATTTTTACTTTCAGGCTTGATTTGCTCTAGCACCCACTTGTTCATCATCCTGGCAGTCTGAGGTATCAGCAAGCTCTCCTCCAGCACCATATTTCAAATTAATCTTTGTCTCCCATCACCTTTCTTTACTGTCCAGCAATCACACGCATACATGGTGACTGAGAATTCAATAGTGTGGATAATCTTGGTCTCCAGTGACACATCGTCACACTTGATGATCTTTTCTAGTCTCTTCATTGCTGCCCTTTCAAGTCTCCATCTTTTCATTTCTTGAGTGCAGTCTCTGTTTGGATTGACAATAAAACCAAGGTATATAAAATATTTCCCCTATTTAAATTTCTTCATTGTTGACATTAAAGTTGTATAGTTATTCTGTAGTCATGATTTTTGTCTTGTGAATGTTCATCTGTAGTCCTGCTTTGACACTTTTTTCTCTCATTTTCACTAAAAGTCATTTCAAGTCATTGTTGCTTTCTGTCAGTAACATGGTGTCATCTGCATGTCCTAAATTATTAATATTCATCTGAATCTAGTAAATGTGCAGGCTAGGGAGAGGGCAGGATACAATGGGGATATCTCCCTGCACACAGAAATTATTTCCACCAGCAGGAGGTTGTTAATTATTTAAAATATTTTTACCCCACCTTTTTCCTTAAAAGGACCCAAGGTGGCTTACATCATCAAAAAGACAATATTCAAAAGCTAAAAACAGTAAGTATAAAAATGTTTTAAAAGAATTAAACAAGTATTATATTAAGAATGGCAAATAAAATAAATACTAAAAATAAAGCAACAGAGCACAACAATCCATCCTTTCTAACCATCCCAGCAATCTAGTTATAAAAGTAGAAACTCCAACAGCACTGTTTAACCAGGGCAGAGGCGTAAGACCTGGAAAGACAGCATTCAGCAGTTGGGGAAAGGCTGGACCAGCTTTGGATTTCCTGAATCCAAATTGCACCATTCCGTAGGAGGAACAATCTCAGGCCTTCTCCTCTACACCAAGTTGGAACTTGTATCCTTAACTCCTACCACTATGGCTGCCAATGGGTGTGGATTAAAATAACTCAGCAAACCACCATTACCACATCTTTCATCTTGGGTAGCACGCTTCAACATTGTTTTTTTTCCTCATTGACACAATGAAGGACACATTTTGGTTTTACATTTATGTTGTCCTAATGTTTGGAATGATGTTCAAAAGGCAGCAGGATGTAATTTGCTCCCTGCTTTAAAAAAAAAGGAAAAAAGGAAAAGAAAAAGCCAGTTTCCTGTTCAGAATTTGTGGATGCCAAATGCCAACTGTGGAGGTTGTTACTGTGATCTGACAGGGTGTCAACCATATGCTTGGCAACACAAACTGGCACCCTATCGGATTGCTGTAGCATCTTCCTCAGTTGTATTTCCATATGCATGAAAATATTGAACAGGATACTAGCCAAAGTATTTGGAATTCAAATGTGATAAATTTGAGATGCGTAATTTTCTAATAGTTGCAAGTATGGATGATTTGAAAGGGTCTCTTGCCTGATAATTATCCATCTCTTCAAGGAATTCAATGCACTTTTCCAAAGCGATTTGGAGTATTGTATTTTATTCTCGATTTTCTGAAAGCGTATATTGCAATCTGATTCTTGCTCTGGGTATAGTTTTAGATGGAAGCTTGACAAGTGTTAACTGGCTTTACAAAGATTGAGGGATAAGAGATATAGTTCTTCTTTTAGAAGAATCTGAGTTTTTAAAAAACTCACTTAGGGCTCTAGTTACCTGAGACTTTGTTCAAATTGAAATTTCAGGCTCTTAGTGACAGAATAAATATAGGGATTTTAGCTTAATCTTGGTAGCTGGAATCAACTGATAGCTTGGGCATGCGTCCTTGATTGTTTTGTTGATAGGTTTTCAGATTTCAAAGCACACCCTATAAGCAGCAACCACCCTCGAGCAATTATAATAGTTTTTAATATTCCTGTCACTGGGGGATATTTGGTTAGGTTTTCACAAGTGGCAAAAATGTGACCTTTGCTGGTGTCAGAATTTGCAGGCAGAATGACAGACCTCACTGAACTAAATATAAGGTGTTTGTGTTGCATAAAACAAGACTTCCTTTACACAACATTTTCTCACTCAAAACCTCAATAGTTCTCTTTAAAGCAGATATTATTTTTTTAAAAAAAAATGGAATGGCTGTGGCAGCTTTCAGAGATTTAAACTATTCCGTTTCGCTCCTCAAAGGTCAGAGGCTCCCTTAGGATCCCTTTCATCATGGAGAAGCTGTTGGTGGCCACAGGAAGGGGTATGTTTTTAATTTTCTAAAATTGATGTGGCTAGTGAAGTCATCCAGACAGTGATGATTTTCAGAAATTAAAGACTTCCCAAATCGGATGGCCCCTAATGGCTTTCTTATGATGAAAAGATTCCACAGGAGTCTTGGGATCTTTTGGGGTGTGTGAATCAAGACATTTTTATTTTTATTTTTCTAATGCCATGGCTCAGGACATTACCAGCCTTACACAGAATAAATTATGCCACTGGATTTCAACCACTGTTTGGAAAAATAGATAGATGTAGTCTCAGAATAGCTTTTTAAAGTTCTGTCTACACAGCCCTTCGATTGGGCTAAATAAGGCTCAAAAGGGTTTTTTAGATCTCTATGCCATTTAAATTGATCCTTCTGTTTAAACAAAAGCATGTACAGTGGACCCTCGACTTACAGATGGCTCGACTTACAGACTTTTCGAGTTACAGACTTCTCTGGCCACAAAATTTAGGTTTGACTTGCAGCCGAAGAATCGACCTACAGACCAGAAAAAAACCAAAATGGAACAAAAACAGAACAAAAACGGCCGGTTATGGATTAATCGGTTTTCAATGCATTGTAGGTCAACGGAGCCTTGACCTACAGACTTTTCGACCTGCAGCCACCGTTCCAATACTAATTAATTCTGTAAGTAGAGGGTCCACTGTACTTTTCCAAGGTGGTTTTTAGGTGAGAAGCAACACAGCACCTAAAATCGCTCCAGGGTGATGTACCTGCAGTCTAAAAAGAGATTGGAGGGATAAACAATGTTCTCTGTTTATTTCTTTGGAAAAACATAGCATTGAATTGGAGAGTAAACAACAAAAATAAAAACTGTCGGGAACAGAAACAACAGAAGAGGGGAAAAGAATGGGTTAACTCTGCCAAAAACCTAATACATCTTTCCCAGCTGGATGTTGTTTGCATTTTGTCTGCATTACTAGAGGAACAGTTTACACACACACACACACACACACACACACACACACACACTTTGGAAGTGGAGTAGTGCAGTGCATTGGATAATAAATAACAAAAATAAAAAGTATTCAAAGCAAAGACAGCAGGAAAGGAGGGGGAGGTAAGGGTTTCTTCTACCAGAAACCTATAATCTGTAAATCTGTAATCCCTTCCCAGATGGATGTTGTGTGTGTTTTAAATCTGCCCTGCCATGGATTTGGCTGTGGGCGGTTTCTCCATGGGTACCTCACACAAGGCAAAGAATTTTTAAAAAATTTAATCTAAGTGATGGAGCGCATCAGTGATGGTCTACCAGAGGGAAAAATTAATATCATTTCCTCTACTCTTCCACCAAGGAGCAGGGGAAATGTTCAATTTGCTGATATCCTGAACAAGCTTTTTTATTAAGCCACTTTACAAAAGCAGAAATTGAAAGCAGAAGGAGCCTTGAGAGTGGAAGCCTTGCTTCTTTGTCCATTCCCAGTTACTGCATGCACTGAAAACCGACTAAAGTAAACTAAAAAAGCAGAAGCCCCAGAGAAGGGCTCAGAAAGGTGTGAGCAGAGGCTCTCTGAAGAAGAATTGGTTCACTCTAGCCATTTACATTGTTGAAATTTTAGCGAAAAAACAACTCGTTCCCCCAGCACACCAAACAGAACTTTTCAAAAAATTAAAAGAGTTCATGTTATAATCGATTGATAGCAATGCTCATAACAAGATAATAGTTCCATTGAGGTTCATAGTACAGGGATTATGGCTGTTATGTATTTATGTCAGCTTTCCTCATATCTTATCAGGGTAACATACAAAGCTTTTGTTCTCTCCACATTGTATCTTCAAAACAGCTGTTGGAGGTAGGAGCAGGCTGAGATAACATGGACGAACCAAGATCAACCCTCCTACTTTTGCTGATGTTCATGTATGGATGTTGGAACCAGAGCCAAGAAGTTTGCGGATGTTGCTTACTGTCCCTCCCACATATGAGCAGTACTTTTATGTTCTCCAGTGCTAGGAGATTTAATTATCAGTTGCGTCTCCCAGCAGGCATAGCTTGACAATAAGCTGCAAGATGTTTGATTTCCATAGGGCATGAAAGGGGCAGTAGCTTCCAATTTTAAGAAATATTTTTGTCCGATTTCCTCTACAAAGCCCTCTTGAATGCCTCATCATAAAGTGGACATGGGCCTATGGTCTCTAAAGCAATGCCAGTGGAGCAGAAGCTTTGGCAGTTCTACCAATCGGGTAACCTCAGAACTTCCAAAAATCTTCAGATGCAAATCTGTCATCCAAGGATCAGTATAGATAAGTAGAGAAAAGCTTCCTACCAAAAGGCTGATCACCAGGTGTTGAACTGGCTGCAGCAGATACTTCCACAAAGACAGTGGAAGTAGCTGTAATTGTGATGCATGGTTTTGGAGGGGCTACCCACATATATGTAACCATGAATTTTCAAAGAATTTCACACAGAGATTTTAATTTTTTTATTAGATGCATTTATTTTCCATGTTTCCTCTAGTGGGTTCAAGGTGACCTACATCATTCTCTTCTTCCCATGTATCTTCACAACAAGCTTGTAAGATATGACATGCTGTTACGTTCCTAGGGGATTCAGCAGGCGAAAGTCGAAGAAGCCAATTCAAGGTCAGAAGTTCAGGAGATACAAAACAGATGCCAAATTGTCAATAAGGGACAACATAGACCGTAGTCAAAAGTCAGAGTCCAAAAGCCAAGGGTCAAGAGAGCAAGGTTCAAAATAAGCAGGAACATGGACACAAACCAGATAATTGACTTGTTGCTTCCAAGCCTCTGGGTACAAATTATATAACAGCAACAACCATCTAATTCCTAGAAACATTCCATCCTTTTAAAACTCAGGGCTGGTTGACCTGATGTTCCTGTGAGAAGCATTCATGCAAGCCTCAGACCTCCGTGTTATGAGTCTCTGCCGAAACTTATCTCCCACTCTGGCTAGTGGGGGAGGAGAATCTGGTGGTGATTCATCTGTCTGTGATACTAATTGCCCAGCATTTTCCTCAGCTGTAATTAACCTCTCTGATTCCATATCTTCTTCGGCTGAACTCATGACAAATGCTGAAAGATTATGATTGGACCATAATCACCTGTTGTGAGGATTTGAACACAGTTGACCTGCATCATAGTCCAATATTTTAACTACTGTGCCACAGTGGGTTATCTCTACAATACATTGTCTCTACCATGCAGGCTTTTGGATTCTGGAAATCTTTCATCTCTTATGAGTTATAGGAACAGATTATATATATATAAATAGCTGTTTGAGGGGGGGTGATTTCTACCTAATGCACAGGTGCATGACAGAATCAAGGAAATAACAGATATTCAAATCTGGGTAATTAATACCCTGCTTGGTAATATTTATGCAAAGATCAAATGTATTGCGGTATAACCTAATTTTATTAATTCTGCTTAGCACATAATACTTTTATGAAGATATCTAAGAAGGATGTTTCACAAAGGAGAAATTAAACACGGCAGCTGGTTGGCTCATGAACAGCAATGTACAAATATAGTACAGTAGGAAGTCTTATTATGCAAAGTTATGGTATAAAAACTAAGGCTTAAAAATAGATTGAGATACAGTTGTATACACAATTCCCTCAGAATAATCCACCACACATAGTAGGACTTACTTCCAAGTAAATGTGCATAGGGATGGGCTGTCAGCAATATATTCTTTTCTAAAAAATCTAGATTTATGAATTTCACATAGATTAATCTAAGCAGAAATTTTAAACAAACCTAGAAGATTAAGTCTTAAGCATTCCTCTACTAGTGATGAGGACTCAAGTCATAGGACTCACTGTCAAATCAGATTTAAATTGCACCAGTGACTAGACTTGGGGTGGGTTTTTTTTTCAATGACTCAGACTTTACTTGGAACCGTCCACCCCTCTCTTTTTGGGGGGAGGGAAGATTATCATTGATAGAGACTTGGGGCTTGGTACCAAAGGCTCAGACTTACTTGGATTTGGGGCTTGGTACCAAAGACTCAGACTTCGACTTAGATCCAAAGACTTGCCAACATCCCTTCCCTCCATCTATAGGTTGAAAACCCATTTCTTCATTTAGTAATTCACACTAGAACAGGCCCATTGAAACAGTGGTGATTTGATGACTCAGCTTATCCATAAATTCCTTTGATTCAATAGGCCTCCTCCAATTGCGACTTAAGGGACGTGGGTGGCACTGCGGGTTAAACCGCTGTCAATTGAAAGCTCGGCATTTTGAAACTGCACCGACAGCGCCAGTTGCTTGTCTCAGCTCCTGCCAACCTAGCAGTTCAAAAGCATGCAATGTGAATAGATGAATAGGTACCACCTCAGTGGGAAGGTAGTAGCGTTCTGTGTCTAGTCATGCTGGCCACATGACCACGGAAAGTGTCTACAGACAAACACTGGCTCTTCTGCTTACAAATGGGGATGAGCACCACTTAGACACAACTGGACTTAATTGTCAAGGAAAACCTTTACCTTTACCTTTGATTGTGACTTGCTATGCTAAAATAAGTCCCAACTAGAGTAGACCATTTTGATCTATGAAATTTATGGAAGCATTGACTCACTAAATCCCAACGGATTCAATGGGCCTGCTCTAGTGTTACTTACTATGCTAAGAAACAGCATTTCAGCCATATACAGTAATCACATTTCTGCATGAAAAAGGAGTTTTGGATTTAAAAGGAACAGATTCATGATTAACCCGAATCACTGCTGTGTTAAGATGTCCATTTTGAAATTTCAGCATTTCTGTCTGTTTCTGCACACTAATGTTAGCTGTTTTTTTTAAAAAAATATATTCAAAACCATCTATTTAAAATGGTAGAGGAACAGCATGCTAAGAAATAGCCTAATTATTCAAAGGAAAGTTGGAATTAAGAGCTGTCTGATATGCAGCTGTGATGTGTGAGCTACTGCAGCTACGCTCTCCACCCTCATGCTGCTACCCTGCATCTAAGTACACTTCTGAGATCCCTCTGCAGAGATGAAGAAGCTCTTCTGGTTTTTCTTAGTAACACACACACACCACAAATGTATTGTTGCTACTAGCTTGGGCTTGATAGGCAATGATGGGCACACACACACACAGACACACACACCACAAATGTATTGTTGTTACTAGCTTGGGCTTGATAGGCAATGATGAATTTTTGGCTTAAAGTAAATTACCACACAGCTTGGTTATTTCCCAGTGCAATGCACTTTGTTGTTGTTGTTTAGTCGTTAAGTCGTGTCCGACTCTTTGTGACCCCAATGCACTAGGGCCATGTAATTGTTTGGGGTCTGATTTGAAGATCTGAAGCAAACCGGGGATACTGTGTACTCAGTTTAAAATGAAGTGGGTAGCAAACAAAACAGAAGAGATGAAGTGGCCCAGGCTGCAGCACTTCGGAAAAGAAGCTCTGTTGCTTAACGAGGCTTCATTTGCATTATAAACACTGTGCCTGCATTCTCAGACTGGGACAATTTGCAACCAGTTTTGGTGGCTTCAAGTGTAGGGGGGAGGACATCAAGTGGGCCGGCAAGGATGCACAGGAGAGCACCATCACTTCAACTTCTCTGTGTCAGTAGAACAGCTGACAGCTTGGTGTTGCCTATGCACTGCATAGATCCATGGAAATATCTGCATAGATCATATCAGGTAACATCCTTTACCATTCCTGTGAATTCAATTCAAATACTTGGCTCAAACAAAAAAACCAACCACTACCAGTGTCACAGTAGAGCAGAAATGTTTAAAATGTTCCACCTTCCAGGGCACCCTGGACAAAAAAAAAAACACCCTGTGAGCTTCATTTCCTCAGAAGAAGTGACAATCCATTCAAATTTCCTCTGGTTCTCTTGAAAATGTGGAAGTCGTAGGCTGCAAATAAATGAAAAAAATGCAAATGAATATTCTTTTATTAAACAAAATAACTCTATGGAGTGGAAATGCAATGAAGCAGCATGTGACCCCAAGCAACAAATCGGAGCATCTTTCCAAGTGAAGCAAAAGATGTGATATGTGTGGCTGTAGGGTGGGAGCATGGTTCTCCAAGCTTTTATATGCCAACGAATCATCTGTGGGGAGAACAACAACATCCACATTCTTTCCCACACCATGAGCTCTGAGAATGTCATACAGTAAGCGGAAGCACTGCCCGTGGTGATTACTGTTGGAATGTTGTTTGCAACCCCACATGTTGCCTGTAGTTTGTGTGACTGGAAGGGACTTTTCTGGAGTGTCTGAGTGGGGCGGGATGAAAAGTCTCTCTGCTCAGCTGCGGAATGGCTGGGTGAAGAGGGAGATGGGGCTGCACCAGCTGGACTACTGCCACAATTGAGGCGCTGATGATGACACCAGCCATACCTGCCGTGCACCGCGTGGTAAGTGGACCAGCAGGTTCTGGGGATGGGAGGTAATCAGGCCAGCCACCTCTGATGAAGATGAATCCCCCATCTCTAGTTATTATCTACGAGGGGGGTGCTGATAAGTATTGAGCCTACCCCATAAAAAAGCGAGCTAGGAAGCTGTAACGTCCCCATTATTCTACATATTCCAACTGCTGGTGTAACCACTCATTTGCAGCATTAGATGCCTCCAGAACACTCCCAAATCATTGTCCTTTAAGTGTTTTTTTGAGTTTGGGGAACAGATAATAGTCAGAAGGAGCCAGGTCAGGAGTATAGGGTAGATGGGGCATCACTTGAAAGCCTGAGGATGCCAGTTTTGCCATTGTTTCTCCTGCAGTGTGTGATGAGGCGTTGTCTTGCAACACGATGACACCTTTCTAGAGCTTTCCTCAAAGTTTTTCCTTGATGTTTCACCTCAACTTCATCAATAAAACACAGTAATATTTTGCATTGATGGCTGAACCCTGTTGGAGGTAGTCTACCAGCAGAACTCCCTTCTTATCCCCCCAAAAAAACCTGTTGCCATTTGCTTCTGCACC